CCCCCGGGGACCCCCCATCCGCCGGAGCCCCCTGTGTCCCCCATGGGCACCCCCCGCCCTGCCCCTCGTCCACTGGAGACCCCTGCCCCATGGGCACCCCCCACCCTGCCCCTCGTGGGACCCCGTCATCCGCCAGATCCCGGCCCCCCATGGGCACCCAGCTACTCCATGATGGGATCCCCCCATCATCTGCCAGAGGGCCCAGGGCTCCCCATGTTCCATGGGCACCAGGCCCCCCAGGGCTACGCCCCTTTCCTGGGAGTCATTTGCCCCCTCAACCCCCCAATCTGCCATAATCCCCCAGTGCCCCCTATGCTGTATGGGCACGAGATGTCCCCCCATGGGGACCCTGCCCCCCTCTTTTCGCTGCTTGACCTCTGACACCCCCCCCCCCAGATCATTAATCTCTTTGTGGCCGTGATCATGGACAATTTCGACTACCTGACCCGGGACTGGTCCATCCTGGGCCCCCACCACCTGGACGAGTTCAAACGCATCTGGTCGGAGTACGACCCCACCGCCAAGTAAGGGCCCTGCCCTGGACCCCCCAACCCCTCAATGGTTCCCCCAGACCCCCAACCTCCCAATTCCCTTGGGCCCCCAACCCCCCCCAGCCCCCCGATTCCCCAAGCCCCCCAAATTCCTCTGGGACACCCCAACCCCACAATGACATCTCCAGACCCCCCCCCAACCTTCCAATTCCTCCAGGTCCCCCACACCCCCAAGTTCCCTGGGACCCCTGTCACAGACTCACCGGTCGTGCCCCGTATGGAGCCCCCTTCACTGTGACAGCCCTTCTCAGGGGTCCCCTCTCTCCCGGGGGTCCAACCCCTCCACCTCTTGGAGCCACATGTCCCTGTCCCCTTGCTCTGGACCCCCCCGTTCCCCCGCTCCCCAGAGGGAGTAACCGCCCCCCCATCCCCCCCGCTTCCAGAGGGAGTACCACCTCCCCCCCATCCCCCTGCTTCCAGAGGGGGTAATGCCCCCCCGTCCCCCCGCTCCCAGAGGGGGGAACGCCCCCCTGGTCCCCCCCCCTCCCCGCGGGAGGGACGCCTCCCCCGGCTCGCCCCCCCCCACGCGAATGG